TTCACAGGTTCTGGGGATTAGGATGTAGGATGTGAACATCTTGTGGGAGAGGAGGGGCTCATTATTCCGCTTACCACACAAATGTATCCTTCCAGTCTGTGGTTTATCATTTCATTTTCTTAATGGTATCCTTTGAAGTACGAAAGTTTTAATTCTGATGGTGTCCAATTTGTTGACTTTTTTATTTTATGGATCACGCTTTGGTGTTGTATCTAAGAATACTTTGCCTAAGGAAAGATCTCAAAGATTTTTCCTGTTTTCTTCTAGAATTTTTTTTATAGCGTTAAATCTTAAATTTAGATTTATGATCCATTGTGAGTTAATTTTTGTGTGGTGCTAGGTAAGGATCTAAGTTCTTTTTTTTTTTTTTTTTATGTGGATATCCAATTGTCCGTTTATTGAAAAGACTCTCGTTTCCCCCACTCAAAGGTCCTGGCACCTTTTTGGAAAATCAATCAGCCATAATTGTAAAGGTTTGTTTCTGAACTCGCAGTTCTCTTTCGTGGATAGGTATGCCATCCTTGGACCACCGTCACACCCTTCCTTGTTACTGTTAGGAATGGAGTTAAGACTATTTTAAATTTAAAATATTACTAACTCAGAACTGTTTTTCTTAAATTCATTGATCGATTAATATTTAATCTATTACAAAATTATCTTGGCCTTGGAATAAAAGCAAAATGCAACTTTTATGTCTAAATTAGGTAACTTAAAATTGCTTCAAATCTATGGAATTCTGTCTTGTCAGACTAAGTTATAAAGATGTCAGAGATTTTGGTGTTAGTATTCCGTTAAATAGCTTGATGAACAGTATTAAATTTTCTACCTTGAATTTGAACAGCTTGTTGTTGTTATTATTATTATTATTATTATTATATGAAACCGAAAAAACCAAACACCTTGCTGTGGAGTTGATTCCAACTCACAGCGACCCTGTAGGACGGAGTAGAACTGCCCCATAGGTTTCCAAGGAGCGGCTGATGGATTTGAACTGCCGACCTTTTGGTTAGCAGCCAGATGCTTAACCATTGTGCCACCAGGGCCTCTTATTATTATATACGGTACTCATATTCCCTTCGTATTAAGTAACGTTCCCAAGATCTGATTTCCTTTCTTATTCCTTTCAGGTCAACCTCTAGAATCCCGTAGACTCTGCAACAGGTCAGTTCAGAGCTTGCCCAACATGGACGCCATCTTCCATGAAGCCTTTCTGAAGATGCGGAAGCAGTACCCTGGGCGCCTTTCTCAGGAGGCTTGTGTTCGTGCGGTTCAGGCCGCTGTGCATTATCCTTATGAGGTGGGCATCAAGAAGGAGGAGCAGCTGTTTACGTACCTTCAGGAATCAGGGCAAGCTAGAGCCCTACAGTACGCTTTCTTCGCTGAGAGGGCGGCAGATAAGTGGTCCACTCCCTCTGGAGCATCCTGGAAAACAGCATCGGCAAGGCCTGTCTCCTCAGTTGGCGTTCTTGGTAAGAACGGTTAATGGAATTCTCCAAATCTGCCCATGTAAGGTGCTACCATTTGCTGAGGGCCACTGGGTGCCAGACTCTGCTAAACATATTAGCTGTGTTAGCTAAGTTAATTCTCACCCCAACCTACCAAAACCAAACCACACCCGTTGCCAGAGACCCATGGAGACGCCAAGTGTTACAAGAGTAGAACTGCGCACTGTAGGTTTTTCTTGACGGTAATATTTACAGAAGCAGATCACCAGGACTTTCTTCTGTGGTGCAGTGGGTGCAAACCACCAACCTTTAGGTTAGTTGTTGAGCACAAACCATTTGTGCCACAGACTAGAGACACTAACCAACCTACTCAGCAATGCGCTAAACACCAGTGGTGTGGGGAATCTCACCCCAGGTCTGTCTAACTCCAGATTCTGGGTATATTTTTACTCACCTTTACCTTTTCCCTGTATGTTTCTCTCCCTCCTGGATTTCCCAGTGATGATTATTATCCTCCAACATTTCAAGGTGTGGCCTCTCACTCTTGTAACTAGGCATTTGGAATGAAGGCTCTGTCTTTCTGGTCCCTGGACCCATTCACTTCTGGTTCAAAACCACTATCTTAAAATCTATCAGAACCCTAAAACAGTGGCTTCCCTACTCCACCCCCCCCCCAAAATTTCCCCCAACAAAATGTCTTCTTCCCTCTGAAGCTACCCCCTTGATTGGTTCCTCTGGGCCACTGTCCTAACCATCACTTGCTCTTAGTCTTGGCCCAGGGATGGTCTTTGGGGGATTTTAAATTCACTGAAATGATAAGATGTTATATACATCAGCCTATGCACAATTTTCAGGGGTGGGTGGTAGTCCATAGTTTACTAAACACACCAACTTTGTTAACCTGCGCACAGTTCTCTGGCGCCAACCCAACTTAAGGCCCATGCCACCTCTTCTCAGTCAGCTCTGCAGCTGTCCCAGCACCAGTTTTTGAAAAGACTATTCTTTCCCTACTGAATGGTCTTGCACATACGATTAACCATAAATTATGAGTTTATTTATGGACTCTCAATTCTATTCCATTGGTCTATATGTCTATCCTTAGGTCAATACCACACTGTCTTGAATACTGTAGCTTTGTCATAAGTTTTGAAATCAGGAAGTGTAAGTCCTCCAACTTAGTTCTTTTTCAAGATTGTTTTGGCTATTCTAGGTTCCTAGAATTTCCTTATAAATTTTAGGATCAGCTTTTCAATTTCTGTGATAAAAACTCAGCTAGGGTTTTGATAGGGATTGAGTTGACTCTATAGATCGTTTTGGAGAATCTGCCGTCTTAACAATATTAAGTCTTCTGACTGATGAACATGAGATACCTTTCCTTTTATTTAGCTCTTCTCTAATTTCCTTCAATAAAGTTTTGTAGTTTTCAGTGTATAAGTCTCACACTTCTTTTGTTAAATTTATTCCTAAGTATTGTATTCTTTTTGATGCCATCGTAAATGGAATTATTTTCCTAATTTCATATTCAGATTGTTCATTGCTAGCATACAGAAATGCAATTGATTTTTGTGTATTGATCATATATCCTACAACCTTGCTGAACTTATTTTTCAGCTCTAGTAGTGTTTGTGTGCGCTGGTGTGTGAATCCTCCTTCTTCTTCTATCCTCTGAAGCACTTAACACAAGGCCTCAACTTAACGAATTCTCGGCCTAATGTAGTCCCTGAATCGGGCTCTTTAAATGCCACATTGCCACAGCTGCCTTTCATCCAGTGAGAAAATTCCCAGTTCTCAACACCAGTGACTTCTTGTTTTTCTCCTTCACTCCTCTCTGCAGGCTTGGGAACAATGGGCAAGGGTATCGTCATTTCTCTTGCAAGGGCCAAGATCCCTGTGGTTGCTGTGGAATCAGACAAGCAGCAGCTGGAAACTGCAAACAAGGTAATAAACTCCTCCTTGGAAAAGGAAGCATCCAAAATGCAGCAGGATGGCCGGCCCTGGTCAGGACCAAAGCCCAGGCTAACTGGGTCTATGAAGGAGCTTGGTGGTGTGGATTTAGTCATCGAAGCAGTATTCGAGGAAGTGAGCTTGAAGAAGCAGGTCTTTGCTGAACTGTCAGCCATATGCAAGCCAGAAGCTTTTTTGTGCACCAATACATCGGCCCTGGACATCGATGAGATAGCTTCTGCCACCGACCGGCCTCAGTTGGTCATTGGCACCCACTTCTTCACACCGGCACACATCATGAAGTTGTTGGAGGTTATTCCCAGCAAGTACACCTCTCCCACTACTATTGCCACTGCTATGAGCTTAGCAAAAAAGCTGAAAAAAATTGGAGTAGTGGTAGGGAACTCTTTTGCATTTGTTGGGAATCGAATGTTGGTGCCTTATTACAATCAGTCGTATTTCTTGTTAGAAGAAGGCAGTAAGCCAGAGGAGATAGATGGGGTGCTGGAAGAGTTCGGTTTTAAAATGGGACCCTTTAGAACGTCCGATCTTGCTGGGTTGGATGTGGGTTGGAGAACTCGGAAGGGGCAAGGTCTTACTGGACCTGCGTTGCCTCCAGGAACTCCTGCCCGAAAACGAGACAATGTAAGATATTGCCCAATTCCTGATATGCTCTGTGAGCTAGGAAGATTTGGCCAAAAGACAGGTAAGGGTTGGTACCAATATGACAAGCCATCGGGTAAGAGTTACAAACCCGACCCCTGGCTTGCCAACTTCCTGTCACAGTATAGAGAAACCCAGCACATTGAACTGCGTACCATCAGCCAGGATGAGATCCTTGAGCGCTGTCTATATTCGCTCATCAATGAAGCATTCCGTATCTTGGGAGAGGGGATAGCTGCTAGCCCCGAGCACATCGATGTTATCTATTTGCATGGGTATGCATGGCCAAGGCA